CTACAGCTTTGAATAAATTATTGACGATTGTTTCTAGCTCTCCTGATATCGACGTTTCTGTAAAGGAGACAAGAAATCGGAATAACGATGCCGAAGATATTAGCTTTACTGTGGAACTGTGTAAGAAACAAAATGATGAGGTATCGACAGTGCGAGCACGGGTTTTCCCTGATCAGGGCTATTGTCTAGTCGATACAGCAATCGTACCTTTGTTGCAAAGCGAAAACCGAACAGAAGTGAACAGTATTGTCAATAGCATTCTGAGCAATACGTCGTCGAAAAACAATAGTCCTGTGGCAAAGTTGAAAGATTTAGCGGAGTTGGAACAGCAACTGGAAGCGACACAGAATCCAGAAGAGCTCTTTAAAATTGATGGCGAGGAGATTAAGGTAGATGATAATGTGGAGCACGTGGTAAATGGAACACAGAATGGTTATGCGTGCAAACTTTGTCGAAAATTCTATGAACGCCGAGATAAGTGTACAGTTCATGTGAAGACACACCTCGGTATCAAGCAATATACGTGCGTCGTCTGCAACGCCAAATTTGTTTGCAAATCTGATGTGATGAAGCACATTCGATGTTCGCATACTAATCCCAGACCCATACAATGTCCCAAATGTCCTAAACGATTCAAATCCAAATTTTATCTAGCTGAACATGATAATGTTCATAAAGGTATACGACCGTACAGTTGTACAGACTGTGAACAGAGTTATCACCACAAGGTTTCATTACAGATCCATATGAAGTCGCATTTACCACCGCAAAATCTAGCCTGCGAATATTGTGGCAAAGTCTTCCCGTTTCGCACGCGATTACTCGGCCATATCGCAAGTGTTCATATGAAAAAACGGCGTAATTTTCGTTGTCGCTTTTGTTATAATCTTTACTCGAGTTTATCGGTGCTAAACGAACATATCAAAACTCGCCATGCGACTACATATACGTGTGAGACATGTGGCAAGACTTTCAAAGTCGCTTCCAAGTATAAAGCGCACGTACTGCAGCACTCCAATCCTAAGCCGTTTGTGTGCAATGTTTGCAATAATCGTTATGCTTCTAAAGCGTTTCTCAATGAGCATTTGTTAAAGCATGAGGGTTTACGTAAACACATATGCCAAGAATGCGGCGCGAGTTTTGCACAAGCGAGTCATTTGGCTGCTCATCGTCATGTACATGGAGAAAAGACGCACGCGTGCCCGGAATGCGGTAAAAAATTTAATCGTCGCGACAACATGAAAGTGCATCGTAAACGGCATTTCGATGAGAAAAAGACTAGCATAGCTAGCAAACAGAAAGTTACATCCAACAATAACAACGTAACTGCTCTTACTACGTCTGTTAACGAGAAGTAATAACAAAATTCATAATAAATAATCACTGGAGAGGAGAAAAGACTATAGAGATCTGTACAAATCTCTTAATAGACTGGACCAGAGTTCGCGATGAATTGAAGATATTGAAATTGAATACTTAAGAGTATTTCGAAGTTGCTCAAAGATGATAGTCTTTTGCTTATACACAATTGGTGCTTCGATGAATTCCCAATGTCATTCCTAATGCTCTTATCTCTTTAGCAGTACAGCTGAACTCTATCTCCCTCACCTATTCTTAACTCGTCGGGACCAAATCTCTCTATTCTTAAGCCGATATTCATTGTCTTATTTCAAGATCATCTTAAATAATATCTTAAGATGTTAACACAGTCTGTGATTGATTTATGACATCTCAAGCTCAATAATGCACTTAAGATGGTCTTACATAGATTATAAGAGAATGGACTATGAATACTGACTGTGAATATCTTTTCCTTCGACCTCATTCTTATTTTAATAATATATACAGAATGAGAAAATGTTGATCACGCCAGAGACAAATGATGACAAATAGTACTTTTATCATCTATTTTCTTATTCTACGTATAATTATATAATTATATAGGGTGTCTCCGAACGTTTTATTTTCTTTCATTTTTAGCTAAGGTCATAAAAGCATAAATATGAAGACTTAAAAAAGCTCGTTGATAGCCAAAAAAAACTTTTTTATACATTTGAAACTGATTATCTCAAAATCTATGGAATGTATTACAATCATTTTAATCTCATTTGAAAAATAATTGAATTCTTTACAATTTTCGTACAATTTTACTGTTTGTTACAAATCGCATTCCCTAATATTTGTAAAAACGTATAAAATAATCGTAATTTTAGAGTTTTTTGGACATTAACTTTTTAAAAGGAAGTATTTTTCAACTCATGTTTATAGGAAACTTTTTGCTCAGAATTCCTACGAAATCTCAAAGTCTCGCCAAAACGTTCGGGGATATCTTGTATATTTAGTATATAATATGTAAATTAGTGAATAAATAAGGAAAACATGTTAAAGATAAAGATTCGGAGGAAAGACCTCTTCAAGGATGATTTTTCAAGTTAAAACGTACAAAGTATTTTTGAATACTACGCAATTTCAAGTGATAAATATTACATGTCATCTTATGACAAGATTTCTTTTACTTGAAGAATTCTATTTCTGAATATTTATTTGCCACATTGTACTAAAATTGTAAAATTAATTGAAAACTAAAAAGTACGTATATGTGACAACGTGCCTTAAAAAGTCAAGAATACAGAGGTGTTAAGAGAATAGAGTGATTATTACAATAATGAATTTTTTCTCTAAACAAATTTTAGTATTATTTTTGACAGAGGTTACATTAATTTTCTGTTCATAAATTATCTTCAGAATTATTGCAATATTTTGTCTTTTTTCATATTTGAATAATTGAGATTGTCGAGTCTAGGAACATTACAATACCTTAATCTTTTCATTCGATCGTTTATATACAGTGAGTATTAATTTGTCATACTGAAACGTGATGTATCTTAGCCTGTAATAATGCGCGCCTTTTTTAAATTTTTCAAGAATAGTAAGTTTCCGGGAGATGTTTATCATATTTTGTAATATAGACAATACGTTCAGCGAATTATGCCAAAAGTATGATTTCTCGAATAATTGCATAGTTTTATTATAAATTTTATAATACGTATGTGTGTGTGCATGCGTGCGTGCTAGTATGCATGTATGCGTGACATTAGAAATAGGGCTTCCAAAATCAATATTCTATAATCTATAACAAGAGTAACGATATTTTCTATACGTCTTTACACGTATCTTATTCATAGAAAAGTTGTAACAGTTGCAACGACGTTCAATCTCTTTTGGAGTACGTTTTACAGTAATTGTTATTACACCGTGCGACAGCATTTTTTATACACGAAAAAAATCGATATGCCCGTGAAAATAAAGATTAAAGCGAGATCAAGTTATTTGTGTTTTTTATACACATTCGAAGCTTAAAGAAGTTGACCGTAGTGCAATTTTGCGATTATCTAAAAATCGTGTATTTTTGTAAAATTTTGTGTAAAATTTATCGCCGAATTCGAAAATGATAAAATTAAAGCGATTAAAATAAATAGCATTATATAATAGCATTAGAGAATTTTGTTTTTCATTATTTTGTTCTTTTTTAATTGCTATAATTTTGTTATTTTCGTATTTAGTGACAAATTATACGTAGAAATACATGGTTTTCAGACAATTGCAAAAATTCATCTTGCACCACAGGCGAAGTGATCTTTAAACTTCAAATGTGCAAATAACTTGATTTTTCAAAATGACGATTTTTTCGTGTTATATATAAAAAAAAGAATTGTGTTACACGGTTACGTAATTACATTAAAACTAGAAAAATTGTTAGATATTTAAAGTATTATGTAATTTATAAAATGTGTGAATGTATTTTACTTGTACTGATACAAAACTATACGAAAAAGATAGCAAGCAAGTGCCTTGATTCAAGTCTTCGTTGTCATGAGATAATTTACAAAGACAAAATGGTTGCGATTGATAGTAGAATATATATATATATATATATATATATATATATATATATATATATATATAAATAAGTATTATGAACTGTTTTTAAGTAGAGTTAATGTCAATAGTAAGAACAGATATTTTAAGTTACGAGCTGTCAAAAATCATGATTTTCATTGTTAAGATTATGAATTATTGTATAATTAGAATACTCATAAGATATCATGTGAGTTGATATTTATAATAATTGCCTATATAAAAAATTTTCCTATAGTTTTACGAAGCAATCAGCAGTATGAGCTATTTTGTACGTATATACATAATTAAAAGATAACATATGTATAATCAGAAGCTAATACTCTTTTCTTTGTTCATAAAGACGTATATGTGTTTATTACACGTAACAGATAAGTGATTTTACACACACACGTACGCGTGCGCGTATTTGTATATTTATATAGAATTTTTACTATAAAAAACTTGTTTAATGGGATTCCACCACATTGCCTTAATAAAGGTTTAATACTTTTGGGACATTTGTGGTTTCATTTAATTTATTCAACATTCAAGTTTTTTAAAGTCACATTGATATTTTCTTAATGTCATTTTTTGTTTAATATTGACTGTTAATTATAACAGTGGGTGTTTCTAGACCTTTTTTACATTTATAGAATTTTACTTCAAAGAAATATATAGAAAATAACGCTTTAGATGTTATATAAAATATTTATTTTCTATAAGAGAGATGCACGTATGGTTTAATAATTAAAAACCAAAGTTGTAGTTTACACAACCGTACTTGTTATTTATTTGCACATAAAGATAATATACCTTTTGTAAAAATACGCAACGTTTAAAATTTTATAGCTTAGCTGAAAAATCCTCATACAATTCGCATTTGAAAGAAAAAAGCATAACAAATTCCTAATTTACATTAGATTCACTTTTGAAGATTAGTTGTGTCCAAGATGCAAAGATTAAATAGACCTTACAATATTTACGAACTTAAAATGTTCATTATTTATTACTTATTCTAAACTTTTTATTTAATAACATAAGAAACATTTAAAAAAAATTAAGTCAATATTTCTCGAATCGATTAGACATTTACAAAGTAATCTTCTAATCCAATTAAAAATAATGGTCAGTATATTTCTATATTTATGATAATCCGTACAGTTTTAATGTTCTATCCATACTAGTAGACGCGATATATTGTGCATGCTTCCCAAAACGAACGCCAGTGGCAGCGGCTGTGTGATCATTTAGGACTTTCAATTCCTGCCATTGTTTACAGAGATATACCCTAAAACAATACAAAAATATATAATATAATCTTAAATTAAGTTACATTATACAATTATTAAAATATGTAATACTGCAATTGAGACACAGTAAGATTTTTTAAAACATTTTGTTTAATATAAGACTTTTATTAATAAGAATTTACTAATTAGTATATGATTAATTCTTTATATTAGTATCAACACTTTCGAATAACTAATAATCATCAAGGACTAATAAATTCGATAAGATAACTTCGACTTGGCCCTTTCATTATATTTATTTGATTTATTCGTATAGCAATCTACTTTAATTTATTATTGTTCAACATTTTACCTGACATCCGTTCCTGCCACAGCCAAATAAGTTCCACTTTGATCAAAGCAAATATCTTTCACTTCATAAGATTCCTCCAACTGTAATGTCTTGAAGTTCTTCAATTTACGCAAATCCCAAAGCTTGACGCATGAATCTTCCGCAGCTGTTGCCAAGTAATATCCATTCTCGGAAAAACTAATCGCGGTGATTGGACCAGTGTGTCCCGGAAAGTTTGCTACATTAGATTGTTCTTTTAAATCCCAGATTTTCACCTGAGAATCCGCTGTGCCAGTGCCGAAAATCAAACCATCAGGATGGAATTGCGCAGTTGTCAACGGTTGTCCTGCTTGTCCGGCAATCTTAAACAATCAAGCATGATATGTGTGAAAAAGAGACTGGAAGAGGGAAGAAAAAGGAAAAGATAATGAACTCCTTAAAAAAAAAAAAAAAACATTTATGAATTAAACCTACAAGACCACATTAAAAAAAAAACGCGCCTATGAAGTGGTGTGGAAAGGAGTGCATTACCTCTTAGAAGAATAACTCTTCAAATTTCGAAGTCATAGTATATGGAAACAGTTGCTTCTATGAAAAAAATTCATAGGATCTTTTTTTATCATACCACAACCTTCCTAATTAAATGGTGTGTTAATTAAAAACATACTTTAGTTAATAATCTGCCGGTACGTATATCTGAAAAGGCCCAATGTTGATCTAGAGAGGAACTCAGTAGATAATCGCCAGTTGGATGTAAAGACAATCCAGTCACAGGTGCATCGTGAGCTTTTAATAATAATGTTGTTTGACTGGTAGCAACGTTCCACACACGAATTGTAGTATCGGGTGACGCAGTCATCACTTATATATATATATATAAAGAATAAAACGACAATTTAAATTGATTGTGCGTACTTTTTTTGTGTGTCCTTTGAGGATTGCCACTACTTGCTCAGTATCCTTGTTAAAAACAGTAGCATTCTTGTCAGCACCACCTGTTAAAATCTTGCTAGTATCTGCATTGTGAATATCAAGTGCCAGAATTCCAGGCACACTGGCAGAGTGAAGTCCCTAAAATTAACATAATTATTTTTAACATAGTAATAATTATGTTTTTTTATTTCTTAAAAATCTTTAGAATTAGATAATAATTGTTATTGTGTATTATACCATTAGATTTCTACTTTAATGCAGCTCTGACTCTATTTAAAAAAAAAAAACTATATATTTGTAACATTATATATTTATAAAACTCCTTAATAGTGACACAGTAAATTTTGAAAATTTTATAACACTTAACAAACGCTTACAGGATGTGATGCCAGAGTTTGGAATGACCGGATACTGTCCTGAGGCATAAGGTCTTCCGGTACTGACCGTCCACGCCTTTTTCGCTCTTGAGTAAGAACAGTTGCTCGCTCTTGAAGTTTCTGTATTACATCTTCAGTGATACCAGCTTGTTCCATTGGTTGTGTTGCTGTGCCACCAGCTTCTACTGCCACAGCCTAAGGAAGAAAATATAATTTATTAAAAATTATAAACATATTTACAATTTATAATATACATAAACTAGAAAACAAATATATGTATATTTGCTTTTATATGTATATATTATATATAGGTTATATAGTTATATAGGTTTTATTTTATATATATTTATATATATATATAATAAAAACTATATAACTTTTTAATTTAAGATATTATTAAATATTTATAATTTAAAAAGAAATTCAAAAGCAATTAGATAACATACCGGCTGTGGGATTGTAGCCTGAACAATTCCAGCTTGTGGTTTGAGAGTAGCAAGAGCCTCTCTAGCAGCAGTAACTTCCTTAGTCAATCTAGCAATCACACGGCAAGCCGCGTCATGTTGATATAAAGCATGAGACAGTTCCTGTCTTGCAGTTTGGAGTTGCTGTCGTAATGTAAATGAATGCAACATAACAGCATCCCATTCATCTTGCATAATTTTTAATATTGCTGGAATAGAAGTTGCACTAGGTGGTTTGGGCTTGACAATTGGAGTTGCTAAAACAGGAAAGATTATAAATTAAATAAAAATAATTATGTAAAAAAAATATGAGTTTAAAAGTACCTTTGATATCAATAAGTTGTTCAATGGCAAGTTCCTTGCCATTAATAGGATCTACTCCATTTTCAGTCACATATTTTTCTATGAGACGTCTCTCAAATATTGAGCCAGAGACAGGAGATATTACTGGATGCTCTGGTACTTCATTAGAAACTGAAAATTATAAAAATTCATAACAATCTTTATTACATCTCGAAATTTTATTATGTTAAGATTTAAATATATAAATTATAACTTTTTTATAAGTATTACTAAATGAATTAATAAGTTATATACATGATACATTTATACACATTAATGTATACATAAACATTATAAATAAGCACTTACAATTATATAATTTACAAGATAAATATAATTGTACTTTCATAAAATTTTCTTTTTATTAACAAATCATCCATCTTATTATTATACGTATATTAGTATAGGAATAAAAATCATTAAAACATTCTAAAAGGCTGCGTTCCGCATGCATAATATACACATGATATCATTTTATCCTTCTTTAACACTCTGCAAACAAGGATAAAATGATACTTCATGCACGTTATATTTGCAACGGAACCGGAGCTTAGGTTATGTTTGCTGACTGTGCCGGTATGAAATTTCTTATTTCTTCAACAACGTAATTTTGTGTTAAGTATCGTCGTGTAAATTTGTGTGTAAATGTAAGCATCACATAAGGATAGTCAAAATGAAAAATAACTCATTCATGATTTATGTTCCCACAAATACTTACTCGCACAAGATAGCGCCATTTTCTTGATTAAAGTATGGGTGCGTTTCCACTGAGCGCGTCGTCAGTCGTCACGCCGGTCACGCGCGCGTCACGAAAGAGAGAGAGAGAGAGAGAGAGAGAGAGAGAGAGGTTATGATTACTTATGAGATGAGATGTTTTGATTGGTTAACTTATGACGATACGACGCGTGACCATGGTATAAGGATAAGGGTATGCTCACGCCGTGGATACCCACTGCGCAGTCAAAGTGTGACGTC